CAAGAAGGGTTAGTTAGCATTAGTACCATTAGTTAGTTAGTTAATTAGCACCATTCAGTTAGCAGAGGGTTTAGGATTTTATTTTTCATTAATATGGTGTGTTACTATGTCAGGTTCCAGGCTCCACAGAATGTCAGTAACCAGAGTAGCACTGCAATGTATGCCTCCCAATTTCAAAGTTTATCCAGTGTACACAGCACATTTTATAGGTGAGATAACTGAGTCCATTAGTAGCTGGATAAAAGGAAATAAAGTTTGGCACATAGTAAATGCACAATAAATGGCTGGGATATTTTTGTGGTTTTTCATTGTCTAGATGCTTTTTCATATATGCATATTTCATCACATGTATTGCACTTATGATAAAATTTTGAAAAATTTTAATGCATGATCTTACTCCAGAAACAAATTTCATAGTTGCAGTTTGGTGTCCAAGGGTGGATAATTCCACTAAAATGGGAAATGGGGTAGGGGGAGATGGATTAGAAGCCTTATAGCTCCAAGGGAAGAAAGCTAGTGGAGTTGGAGGAGGAGGCTGGAAGTGAATGAGGGGTTACAATGAAAGGGAAATACAATTTTTTTTTTCCCTACAGAAAGGTCTGTTGTGCAAGAAATGGTCCTGGGGGACCAAAAATAAAATCCCACAGGAGCACTGGCTTGATTGAGTCTTCCTGGAAATCATTTGAGGGAGTAGGAGGAAGCAGGGTTTGTAAATTAATAAATGTGAAGCTGAGCCCTGGGACCTGTTTCTTTCAGTTCCCTGGTTAGCCTTATACTTAAAGGCAGCAGATGTTTCTGGTCGGATTTAAGTTTTGCAATTAATTTTGAAGACCAATAACCCCATGAAGCTTAGAGGAAGAACTCTTTTTTTTTTTTTTTTTGAGACAGAGTCTCGCTTTCTTGCCTAGGCTAGAGTGAGTGCCGTGGCGTCAGCCTAGCTCACAGCAACCTCAAACTCCTGGGCTCAAGCGATCCTGCTGCCTCAGCCTCCCGAGTAGCTGGGACTACAGGCACGAGCCACCATGCCCGGCTGATTTTTATATTATATATATTAGTTGGCCAATTAATTTCTTTCTATTTTTATGGTAGAGACGGGGTCTCGCTCAGGTTGGTTTTGAACTCCTGACCTTGAGCAATCCGCCGGCCTCGGCCTCCCAGAGTGCTAGGATTACAGGCGTGAGCCACCGCGCCCGGCCGAGGAAGAACTCTTTGCAGGTGAGATAAAACTGGGACTACTGTTTAGATTTTTAAAAATGGCTTCCCCCCCACTGATTGTTGGTAAAGCAGATTTCTCAAATCTTTCTGGTCTCAGAATCTTCCCTTCCCATGTGCATCCAGGCTGGCAAAGGTTGCATTGCAGGGTCTGGGGGTCCAGGCTTGGGGTTTGGGTAAGAGTACAGTTGGGAGATCCTATTCTTCCTTTATTCATTTATTCATGTCATCTCTGTGGAGAACCTATCTGAAGCAGAGTCAGGACCAAGTGAGAGGCAAGGGAGTCTCCTGGGGCACAAGATTTAAGGAGATGTTTATTCTTAGTGTCATGAAAGTGTGAAGTTGGTGCCTGAGGATTATTGCCTTCCTAGGTTTTGTGCCCAAGGAGGCTCACCTGTCTTACCCTAGTTTGGGGCCTGCTCTTATGGGCCAAGTTCTATGTACAGTGTCAGAGGCAAAGATAAATGAGACAAGATCTCTCATTCTAGTAAGTTCCCTGCTGGGGAAGTCCACAAAGTGTCAGAGTAAATGTTGGAAAGTGTTAGGTCAACCTGAAGCTCACAAGGAAGGGATGTAAACAAATTTGAAGTTCAAGGCCTCCAGATTGGGAGAAACACAGGTGTCTAAAATGGCCTGGGGGCCACATTCTCATACTTCAACTGGAATTTTCCTTGCCAGTTATTATTTTTAGAATAAAAAAATTAGATGCCATACTTCTATTGTTATTAGTATAATTAACATTATTATTTAATAGGACAAAGCATATAGTAATAATGCTAAGAATAAGTGTATACTGATAAATATTGCTGGTATTTGCTCAATGTATAATAAATACATTATTCTATTTAGTCTTCGCAGTAACCCTTTGAGGTAGGTAATATTATTATTTCCATTTTATGGAAGATGAAATTGAAGTTCAGAGACACCAAGATCAAATAGTCACATGTGCCAAAACCAGGATTCAAACCCATGACTGCACTGCTTCGAGCGGTCAATTGAAGCCAGTAGTGGTGGGAGTTTTACTGGTAACTTCTCCTAACTCCTACCCCTGAACGAACTTTTAAAAAAATTGCTTTTTTTTTTTTAAACAAAACAAAACAACCTACAGGCAAACAAATTTCTTTAAAGAGTTTCTCAGCTTTCCGAGATGAAGACTGGAAAGAGACATAGCCATCTACACTCTGAAACCTCCCTTCCACTTCACCACAGCCCACCTCTTGCCCTTTCTCTCTTCTCCACTGCTGCACAGCAGAACCAACCTGGGAGAGAAAATAGGAAGATGGTGGGAATTGCTGTCACCTCTTCACTTCCCCCAGGGACCAGGAAAGCGGTTATGCCATGCTGGGTCAGCTAGACAGGCCCTGGCTTTCTATTCTTCTATGTTAATTAGAAAGCAGAATCTTAAGAGCCAATTTTGACTAAGAACTCTGTGTCCAATTTTCTCCTGGCCCTGATTGTGAAGGGCCTGATCAATATTAAATCTAATTTACAATGATGGCCCCTGTGAAGCTGGCAAATGTTATGTCAACATACCATAATGACTTGGGCTTCCTAAGCACACTTGTTAGCCGTGGCCGCATCTGCCACGGCCACTCTCACACCCGCTCCTGCCTCTCTGCCACATCTGTGATAACGCCCCCTCGAGTTCTCCTGCTTTCCTTCCATCAACAAGAGCCCCAGTCCTGTCAATTTTGGTTGTCTTATTGCTGTCTGACGAGAAGGAGAACACAATTAATTTTTTTCCCAAAACTGATGAACCAAAGAAAGAAATAATTGCTACTCAGTTTTAATAATGGCAGATTTTATGAAATTTCCATGAAGACAATTCAGAAAGGAGTAGGGGGGAATTATTTCTCCACAGGGGGCCCAACTGGTTTGCATTGTTTCATAATGTTTATGTTATTACAATTCCATGTTATTTGCATTTGCATCCTGTTGTCTCCAGGGCAAGTTCTTACAACTAATTTGTGAGAGAATGAATAAAAGAGTCCTAATGGAGCCAGGCTCCTGTTCTGAAGGCTTCCAGTCTTTCCTCATCTCAGGGGAACCTGAGGGGGGGCACCTCTGCCGAAGAGAGATGCTAAGGTTCCAGAGACATTTCTGGAAGCCAGGAGATAGCTATTATTCACATCATCCTCCTGCAAAACACTTATTAGGCTTACATTGTCTGTGAGACAAAGTCAAAACTCCTTAGCTCTTGCCTCGGCTCCTTCAGACAATGTTCTTCCATTGCCTGCTCCAGCCCGTGGACCTCTCTTGGCTTCTTGTATTTGTCATACTTCTTCTACCACAGGGAGTTGGTATGTGCCATTCCCTCGGCCTGGAAGACTGTTCCCTTTCCTCCTTCCCTAGGTAAGTCATCTTCAACCTTCACATATCAGCCCTCCTGGTCTCTTCCTCAAGTCTCCCCCACCAGGCCGAATCTTCCCTTATTGGTTCTCATTGCCACCTCTCCTTTGTCTCACTTGCAACTTGATGTGTGTTGGTGGCATTGTGTGACTAACATCTTCCTCTTCATTCTTTCATAAGCTCTTGGGGCAGAGGTCTTGTCTGTCTTAGCACTACAGTTTACCGCTTTTCTGTAGAGCATATCCTGAAGTTGAGCATGATGCCATAGTGAGGCATCGTCCCACCTCTGCAGAGAGCAGAAATGACTATCTCTTTATTAGTTAATTACTGCTTTGGCTGCTGTAACACAGGAAAATGTGATAGTGACCTTAAAGCAGTAGTTTGCGTCTCTCTAAAGTGGCTCCACAGTGTCAAGGATCTGGGCTCCTCTATCCTTTCCTTCATTTAATACATATTTATTAAGCACCTACTATATTCTGGGCACCCTTCCTGGCCTCGAGGACACAGCAGTGATTGAAACAGAAAAAATCCCTACCATTATGGAGCGAATATGCTAGTAGGATAGACAGGCAATTGGACATGATAAAAGTAATGTATTGCATGTTATATGGTGATAAGTGCTATGAGAATAAAACAAGGGTGGGGGTAGGAAGAGTTGGGGGAGTGGATGCTGTTGAAATTTTAGATTAGGTGGCCAGGGAATATCTCACTGGGATGCTGGTATTTGAGCAAAGACCTGGGGACAGTGATGGTGTAAGCAGGGAGCCTTATGGGAGAGGAGCATTTAGCAAGTACAAAGGCCCTGTGGCGAAAACATGTCTGGTTTGTCTGGTAACAGCAAGGAAGACAAAGTGGCTGTCGCAGAGTGATTAATGGGAGAGTAGTAGGTGCTGAAGAGAGAGAGGTTATGTAAGGCCAAGTCATGTAGGGCCTCAGATGTCATTATGGGGATTTTGGCTTGTTGCTTTCCTCTTCTTACTCATGACTTGCATCTTGTAGTCTAAGACAGCTGCCCTAACTCCTGGCATTCTATCCAGCAACAAAAGGAGAAGAGATAGGGTTGGGCATGACCCTGGCCTTCAAGGTACAAGCTGGAAACTGACCTCATTTCCTTTTACATCCCATTAGATGGAATTAGCCACATGGCTATACCTAGTGCAAGGAGGGTGCACAGTATATTGTTGGGCACCAAGAATGCAAATAAATGTCAGAGATTCTAATATTTATGAAACAAAGGGAGAGGGATCTTGGAGAATAGTAACAGCCTTTGCCAACAAACCCATTCTTTGAAAAAGAAAAACATGAAATTAGAAATCTGATTATCCCTTTCATAATGGAATCAGCTTTCAATGAAAGAAAAACTACAATGCAAACCTTTTAGCCATAAAAGTACTTTATTTTTGGGAAATTGTGCTGAAAATCTTTTCTTGTTCTGTTAGGAAAGCTGTTTATGATCCAATGAACTAAACAAAAAGCCCTGTCAAGCTGCCCAATCAGCTAAGGAGAAAGACCCAGGTAGGATTAAGTTTAACTATTTCTCTCCTCGATCATAAGTGACAATTTGCTTTTATATTTCCTGCTCTGCAGTGTAAAAATATGTGAATTCCCTTGGTAAGCTGTTTTACTACAGAGTCTGTCTTTACCCACCTACAGAATTTGTGTAGACATTAAGTTTTGTGAAGCATGTCTGACTTTGATAATGATGGAAAGTCATAAAACAAGGCTAATGCAGAAAATAGTTGTAGTTCATAAATTGAACTTATTGTCAATCACACCAGAGATAAATAAATGAACAATGAACTTACTGGGTTTTCTTTGGGCATCCAGAGAAAATCCCCTTGATTCTTTAACACTATATAAATCATAGTTTAATTGCTGGTGTTTAATATAGAAACCATCTGCAGTGGTTTAAAAAAAAAGTGCTTCTGACATCTCCAAACTGAACCACCACTTGGAGTCATGTATTCTTTGATGGTTAATGTTGAATGAGTGAATGAACCCTGAAAGGCTGCCTGTTTTCTACGCATTAGAAGCTCAGGGTTGGAAAGAAGCTTAACAATTAGGCAGTCAGTTCTTAGTCCCTCTATAGCAGCAGTCCCCAACCTTTTTGGCATCAGGGACTGGTTTCATGGAAGACAATTTTTCCATGGAAGGGGAGGTGTGGAGATGGTTTGGGATGATTCAAGTACATTACATTTATTGTACACTTTATTTCTATTATTATTACATTGTAAAACATAATGAAATAATTACACAACTTATCATAAAGCAGAATCTAATGCCATCGCTGATCTGATAGGAGGTGGAGCTCAGGTGGTGATGCAAGCGATGGGGATTGGCTGTAAATACAGATGTAGCTTTGCTCACCTCCTGCTGTGTGGTCTGGCTCCTAACAGGCCATAAACAGGAGTTGGGGACCACAGCTCTACAGCATCTGGTCTAGCTGGAGTACCTTGAGTGACGGGGCACTTGTTATCTTCCACAAAAATCTGTTCCTTTGTCTTTTGGCTCAGATGATTGGAACTTTCTTATTTTCTTGAGCCACTTTCTATTTTCCTACAAATTATCCCAGTTTTCCTATGCATGACCAATATAAGGTAAGTTTAATTACTTTCTCACATGACAGTTTTTCTGATGAGAAAGGGGAAGCAGACCCAGAGCTTGCCCCTCTAAAATCCATGTTGTATCACAGAGATCAGAGAGCTCTAAGACTGAGAGCTTCCTACTTTGGGCAACAGATCAACACACCAGGCCAGCTCTGAAAACAAATCAGGGCAAATTGATGGCTTAAATTTTGACACCTGCTTGTTCTCTGTATTTGGGCAAGTCACCTAATAATAACAGTTAATCATTGCTACTGATTATAGAATATTTGGCATGATAGAAAATGTGTTCAGCTATTTACATTTTAAATTTAATTCTCCCATAATGCTAATGATAATTACTACTGTTATCCTCATTTTGCAGAGGAAATTAAAGTTCAGAAAAATTAAGTAGCCTTCCCAAGAGTGACCCCATCTCTGTGACATTACATCTGTGCTTTTGACCCGTATACTAAACTTCTTCTCTCAGCCTATTCAGGAATCAGTGAGTAACCCTCATGAACAAGGATTCCCCAGGTCAGCTGGCCAGTGTGGATCCTGGGACTACAAGAGGGCAAAGAACACAATGGGTCAGTGGTTGTCAGCGGGAAGTAGGAGAAAGCCCAAGGAGGAGGTCAGCAAGGGTTATGTGGCCAAGATGTAGACAACAGTGAGCGCCCCAAGAGACCAGTAGCTGGGAACATTGTGAAGATATGGTATCAGGCAAATGATAGGGGTTGAGACTCATGTTCTTAAGAGGTCATAAGTGCCAAAGAGATTATAATAGCCTGGTCATATTGATTTAAAATAAAAATGAGAAAACATAAAAAATAAGTGTAAAAAAGTTTTTTGATATTCTTTTTTCCATGCCTGAAAGCACCTATCAGAACATCTAACACCTGAGGGATACTCAGCAGAGGTGAGGAGCATTTACTGACTTACAGGAGCCACAGGACAAGCAGGTGGTGGAAAGGGAATGTTGCCAAAGGAAACAACACAAGATAAGAGCTCAGTTACCATAACAGCGTGTAAGGATGGTCCATATTTGCTAAGATTTGGGGGGATGTAAGGAGGTGGGTTGGCCACGGAGTCTAGTCGTGAGATTGAATTTACACAGTGGTTGAATGGCTTCCTCATAGGATTATGGAAGGCATTAAACATTCTAGGAGATAGGTGAACCTTTGGGTGTTGGTCCACATAGCTCCTAAGTTGGCCAGAAGAAGATCTGATTTCAGTGATTTTAAGATGATATATATTATAAGGCACTCCTTGATTTAATAGCAGCATTTTAGCAAAAAAAAACAAAAACAAAAACAAAACAAAACAAAACAAAAAACAGAAAGAAAGAAAAGAAACACTATAATCAATGTACACATTGGGTTTGGAAATATGGTAAATAGAACCCTATCCCAACTCCGTAATGAATGGTTTGGATTAGAACTTAAACAAAGTGGGGTGAGGAGAAGGTCATTTATTGAATATAGTGGAAAAAATAAGCAGATGGTACCAATTCACCCCTTTCATTGTTCTGCTTCTGTCTCTAGTTAAGATATTCTTCTTCATGGAACACACGTCTGATGGATGGGGTGGTAGAATTTCCTCTTGAGTAGCGAGATTCACTGCTTTGGGTCTTGGGTTGGGTCTTAAAATGTCATCTGAACCACATGGTTGTGTCAAACTCAGAGGTCTTGCAGAGAAGGACAAACACTCTCCCAGCCTCCCAATTCTGAGCTTTATTCAGAAGTGGGATTATCTTCTTAGTCCCATGCAGAAAACTAGAGGGCTTAGTCACTGCAGGCTCTGTTGCTCTAGGTTGCTTGTGGTGACAAAACTGGGCTAATGCTTGGAGGGCATCTGGATTTGCAACCCACTGTAATAAGTCTGAGGCTCTTTCAAGAAGCTTGTAGCTTACTGGGTAGAAATCACTGATGTAAATTCTCTATTTCTGAAGGTTCCAAAGGGGAAAGGGGGAGAAAGAGATATGAGAATAGGAGGCTGAAATGAGAAAGTAAAGCTTTCCCAAGAGGACATGGCTGTTACTACCACTTCCACTTTATCTTGAACCTGAGAGAAACATTCTAATCAAATGGAAAGTGTGTCAGTGGAAATATCACCCTTTGATACTACCCTGTTGCTAAGGTTACTTCAGAGATAGGAAAGTTTCAAACAGATTTTTGGTATGTGCCCCCTGAGGACTGTACACTACAAACAGAGAATTTAACTGTTAGGATAATACCGTGTTACATTTTCATTTTACACAGTTTAATTTTCTTAATAATCAATAGCATAAATTTTAATTATCTTAAATTAGTGTTTGAGTGGGCAGGAAACACATCTTTTTGCAAGAAAATGTTGGTGTAATGCTTATTAACAAAAACGAAGGTTTCAGGCTCTTCTGTGTGGCTCAAAATTGCCTTCCTTTCAGAGATGCAAATGCTGAGTTGGTTTCCTTATGAGGCCTTATTAATATAGGGAAACTAAACTTGGGTTCATGTCATGGTTGAGACACTGGACGTGTGTGAGGGGTGCCTGCTCACTTTTTTAATGTAGGGGAGCCAGAGACTTATTTGATGAAGTTGAGCATTCTTGTCTATTTTTAGTGTTTTTGTGAACATTCTCATCAAAAGGGACTCTGAGTATCTGCAGCAAAGTTCAGCTTAAAACCAGGATGCCGAGGTAAGCCATAGGATTTTGGAGAAGGCTCTTTGAGGTCTTGGCATTGTCACGGCTACAAAAGAACAAGTGAGACTTTCAATAACAATCCAATAACCTTCTGGAACCTTGAACTTTTTAATTAAGAGCAAGCAATAAAGGAGCAAAAGGGACAGAGGAAAGAAGAGAGATTGGGGAGAATAGAGAATATACACAAAAGTTGAGTACAGATAAAGGACAATTATTGGGTTTTCCTGCCTTTAAGTTAGGAGAAAAATCTCTAAAATTGCAAAATCTCTTTCTTGTTCTTTTTGAAAGTGCAATCAAGATGTCTGTTTTTGCTGATTAACATCACAAGTATCTTACATTTCACAAGGTCCCTGAAAGTCTTCCTTAATTCAAGGTAAGATATGAGAGACACACAAGTTATTCTTGATAGGGATTCAAAGAACCTGTGCACTCATTCAAAACACAATGAGCTTAGGCAGAACGCCATCCTACAATATCAATTATCTTCACTGAATACCATTTCTGCCCTCTTTTTGTGTGCCTTTTTGGAATAAGAATGTGCATTGCCCTTATTAATCCTGCGGAATTACTTTTTTCCTGCTCCTTAGGAAATCTAGCAAATGCAGACAGTTTCAGCGAGTTAACAAAAAAAATCTAATTTCCACTTGAGCAGCTCTGAGGTTAGGTCAGCAGAAAAAAAAAACTGCAGTAGCTTGTGTTGATGAATATTTTATAAGCTCTACCATCTAATAAAAGATGTATTTAAAAATGGGCAGGATGCTGGTTAAGAAAATGTTCTATTATTTAATTATCATGAAGATAAAAGTTGAGTTTCAGGTGTAATGAAAGAATGCACCGGCCCACAGACAAGTTCGATTTCGGGTCTTTGGACTCTTTTTGTTCTCTTCACCATAGATCTTCCATCATGGCTCCAACTGCTGACTTATACAATCAATGAGGCAACAGGGTGATTACAGAGCTTGACCCATGTGGAGATTATTTAGTGGCCTCAATGGACAGGAGAAATCTTTAAAAAGCTTCTAATTAGCACACCCAGTCAATGAAATTGCAAACCTCATTATTTGAGTCAGGGCCAGGAAAGTATAGGCCAATAGGACCCCCAAATGACATGTTAGCAATATGTGGAGCTTGTTACCCACAGAGCTTAGAATTACTCTCAGCATGATCCATAATAATCATAATGACGATGATGATGACAGCAATAATCCTACACATAGCAGCAATCATTTATTGAACACCTACTATGTGCCAGGCATGGTGCTAAGTACTTTGCATGCATCATCCATTCTAGTCCTCATAATAACTGCATGAGATAGGTACTGGTATCATCTTCATTACATAGCTAAGAAAAATGAGGCTTGAAGTCTCATAGCTAGCAGGTGATTGAGTTGACTGACTCCAAGACTGACTTCAAAGCCAACAGGCTTTTCTGGAATGGAAGCCCACAACCCCACCCCTTTTCTCCTTCTAACAAAACCATAGTTTTTTTGATGTGTGCAATGGAAAGATGAGAAATGCTTATAAAATAAATTAGAATATTTTGCCATCATCTTATACTCCTTCTGCCTCTAAATGGAGCCACACTCTGATCTTTCTAGTTACTTCTATGGGAGCTGTGGTAGAAAGAATATCAGGTTAGGAGTTAGCTGTCCTGGGTTCTAGGCCCAGCTCCGTCCCTAACAAGTTGTGTGATCTCATCAAATCACTTCACCTCTCTCAGTCTTAGTGACTTATTTTTGAAAGTGATGATTGTAATATACGCTCTCTCTCTCCTTGCAGTGTTGTGCTGAAGAACAAATGTGATAATGTACCTGAAAGCTCTTGGAAGAGCTTCAAGTGTTATGTAAATGAAAGGTGGTAATTAAAAACCTCTAGAGAAGGGCAGCCTATCTCAGTCATCAATTACCATGCTTTCTTTCTTGTCAGGAAACCTATATTTTTCAGTGCTTCTTGGGGGTATAGATAGCTCTGCACAAAATTTTTGTCTGGGAAATGTGTGAAGAAAAGGATCATCCTGACAGCTGAAAACCTATTTATGATAAGAAATAACCACATATAAATTGATGAAACCAAAGGCAGATGCATTCTCATGGAAAATTGTGAAAATTCATACCTCCATTTATTGGTTTTTATATTTAGTTATAAGAAGATGGAATATTTAATTGGCATAACACACACAAAGCCCAACTCTTTAAATAAGAAAGTGGTATTGAAATTGACTTGTTACCTAGAAAAACAGAAAAAGACTTTAGGGGAAAAAGCATGAAAAATATGAACACCAAAAACTTGGTATGTTCTTAAACTTCAGGAACTTGGGTGCAGGAACACATCTGGTAAGTTTTACCTCAGTCTTTGCTAACATTATATTTCTGATGAAATTTATTTATATTTCTGAATGAAAGCCAAAACTAAATTAGGAAGGTGCATTACTTCCCAGATGGTAGAATGACATAGGGTAAGGCTTTCACTTCAGGAAGACCTGGGCTAGAATTCTAATTCTGCTGCTTCCAAGGTGCTAATTAACCTATGTGAGCTTCCCTTTCTACTCAGCTACTGCATATAAGCCACCTGATGTCCTAGATAGATCAACAGTATAATCTGAGTAATAAAGACCTAGTAGATGTACCATACGTGTCTAACTGCCATGGAGATTCTAAACTTTTCCTTACCTAATATTCTTTAAACACAGATAAACAGGGGCATGTAGTAGTTTGAGCTTTATATCCTCAAGTTTTTCTTGCTTTTCTTGCCAAAGGTGCTCAAAGAAAGCAAGTTGGACTGATAGGATTATTGAGAAGTTGAGGCTGGATAAAGGCAACATAGCACCTGGATAATCAGGATTTACAGGGATAGATGTCTGAGTTCCCTATTTTAAGCATATTGAAGAGTGCTGAATTACAATCTAAATGAGTGAATAGGTTAGATCTCTCAGAGATAGCATGGCACTGAAGTTAAGCATGTGGATGTCCCATTGACTATAAGAAATCTGTGTGTGCCAGGAAAATGTCAGGGAGTATAATCTTTGACTGACAGCTGTAAAAATGTACCAAAAACTTGACTTAGAAAATAATGTTTGTGTTATTTGACTGAGAGTCTAAATTCTAAAGTTTATTCTCTAATTTAAGCTGCACCATTTAGAAAGCCTTAATGTAGACCAATTAGCCTGCTCATGGAGTTTGCTTTTAGTAATCTACTTTAACTTTTTTGCTATCAACTTTTACTAAGGAATGCTAAAAGACTTGGTCTTATGACATGCATTGTTATATTTGTGGTAGAGACCCTGTCCTTCCCAGAGGTCTGCCTGTCAGTATTTTCACAACTCTCAAATCTTCCCTCCGTATTAAGAACAGAGAGAATTTTCTAATAATTAGGTATAATGATGCTATTCCCCTACACAATGATTTTAACTGGCTCTAGATTAACTGCAAAACAGATCCAAGTTTCTTTTCAAGGCACTCAAGGTCCTTCTTGAAGCAGCCTGATGTTACCTGCCTAGCCTCACCTCTTCCCATTTCCCTCCTGAACCTGTGCCCTTGCAATACTAAATACACACACACACACACACACAGATATACACGTGTGTGCACACACCTACAGTGGCTTTTCTGCATTCTTGAAGCTTCATCTTGAATGTTAATTTTCTGTTTAAGATTTTGACTTCACCACATTGACCATAAAGCTGCTTTGTTTGGATAGGTTTCCATTCCAACAATGCCTTTACTGTTTTTTAATTGCTTTTGTGTTTTGGGTCATGTTGTGGTCTATCTCCTCTCTCAACTGCAAGGCCCTGCAAAACAGGGTTGGATTCCCATCACATCTGGAACTCCAGTGCCCACTGAAATGCCTGGGCCACTGTTGCCACTCCTTTTCTCTCTCTTTTGTGTGCATGCTGCCACCTTCCCTTCCTTCTTTTTCCTTCTTGTCTTTATCTTAAAAATGGCTTGTTAATAATTTGAGTCGAGTGCTGGGAAGAGTTGGAAGACAAGCTTTGACACATCCTAAGCTATTTTTTTGAAGATGGTGCAGTCCTGTGATGGAAGAGCTTGTCCAAAAATTCACCTCCGGTTCTCATTTTGTGTGACACTTCCCATCATGTAGAACATGATTAGCTGTCTTTTCAAGTGCTTCTTTAGGCCAAGTCTATTAATGAGATTTTGTTTGGTCCAGTATGAGTCAGAATCAAGCATGTTTGCTCACAGATGCGCATTAGAGGAACAGGGTTTGACTGGTAAGTGGCAGCCCAATCTTTAGAGCTGAAGTAATTTTCTAAAGCCGATTTTCTTAGTGTTCAGCAAAGTGGAATGTAATTTTAATTTGCAAGAAGAACTTTGGCTTCCATGAAACATAACTATCAGCTATTTCTCAAAGCATTTCTTCACAATGATGCCAGGGAGGTCAGAATGGACCAGTTGGAGATACAAACAAATTTAATAATAGAGAGACTCAAAACAAATTAAAAAGTCTGTCCTGGAATTTTATTTTATAAAAGGGGGGAGCAAAAGAGTTCAGTAAGTTATTATTGTTTAATGATTTCCTGATACTCATTTAGTACAAATGTGAGAGCAACACATCACAGGAATATATATTTAAAGATATTACAAAGCCAATTTGAATAAAGTTTTAGTTCACCAAGCATTCAAAGGCATCAAAGACATTTATCTTCTTGCAGAAGATACTTTATGCAGAAGACTCAAATTGGCAAAACTTTTTAATTGGTTCACTTCTACAGTGCAACACATAAAAAGTTTATGGAGGCAACAATTCATTAGACACTGCGGCATCAGACCAGAGCATCAACTATTTATAATTCAGCCTTCCATTCAGACACGAGGCCACATCAGAATGAAATATGAAAATTCATCAAGTGGGTAGATTTTCATTAACCATTCATTTCCTTTGTAAAGTTGACAGCCATACAAACAATTCTTTCACCTTGTTCTTCCTATGTAAAATAATAAGTATGAGTAAGTATACCAGTCAGGTATCCAATATGATAGAAAGATGGTTGACTCCAATGCAAGTAGATGATATAATTTTTCATTCCCTGCCCCCTTTTCTCTCCTTCCTCCAATCTTACGATCCCTCTGAAATGTCAGGAGTACAGCTCACACAGCATATTGCTCTCATTTCCAATTCTTTTCATTTATTTGTAAGTACAGAGTTGCATTTATTTGTAAGTACAGAGTTGGGAGGAATATGTTAGGGATGTTTAGCCACAAATACAAATAGGAGTGAGAGTCATATCTCCCTGTGGTCTATGTGGTACCATGTGACCCTTTGCACATGGTAACAGAACCCAGATACAAGGAGACATTGTTTTGCTAAAGAGTAATTATGGGGATGTGAGTTTGTTGGCTTTTTCTACCATTTTTT